TATAGGGGTCTCAGAAGAAGAGAAAGAAAAAGGGACTGACAAAATATTTGAAGAGATTATAGCTGAAAAATTCCCTAATATGGGAAAAGAAATAGTCAATCAAGTCCAGGAAGCACAGAGAGTCCCATACAGGATAAATCCAAGGAGAAACATGCGAAGACACATATTAAGCAAAATACCAAAGATTACATACAAAGAAAAAATATTAAAAGCAGCAAGGGAAAAGCAACAAATAACACACAAGGGAATCCCCATAAGGTTAACAGCTGATCTTTCAGCAGAAACTCTGCAAGCCAGAAAGGAGTGGCAGGACATATTTAAAGTGATGAAAGGGAAAAACCTACAACCAAGATTACTCTACCGAACAAGGATGTCATTCAGATTTGACGGAAAAATTAAAACCTTTACAGACAAGCAAACGCTAAGAGGATCCAGCACCACCAAACCAGCTTTACAACAAATGCTAAAGGAACTTCTTTAGGCAGGAAGCACAAGAGAAGGAAAAGACCTACAATAACAAACCCAAAACAATTAAGAAAATGGCAATAGGAACATACATATCGATAACTACCTTAAATGTAAATGGATTAAATGCTCCAACCAAAAGACATAGACTGCCTGAATGGATGCAAAAACAAGACCCATATATATGTTGTCTACAAGAGACCCACTTCAGACCTAGGGACACATACAGACTGAAAGTGAGGGGATGGAAAAAGATATTCCATGCAAATGGAAATCAAAAGAAAGCAAGAGTAACAATTCTCATATCAGACAAAATAGACTTTAAAATAAAGACTATTACAAGAGGCAAAGAGGGACACCACATAATGATCAAGGGATCAATCCAAGGAGAAGATATAACAGTTGTAAATATTTATGCACCCAACATAGGAGCACTTCAATGCCTAAGGTAAATGCTAACAGCCATAAAAGTGGAAATCGACAGTACCACAATAATAGTAGGGGACTTTAACACCCCACTTTAACCAATGGACAGATCATCCACAATGAAAATAAATAAGGAAACACCAGCCTTAAATGATGCTTTAAACAAGATGGACTTAATTGATATAAATAGGACATTCCATCCAAAAAGAACAGAATACACTTTCTTCTCAAGTGCTCATGGAACATTCTCTAGGATAGAACATATCTTGGGTCACAAATCAAGCTTTGCTTAATTTAAGAAAATTGAAATCATATCAAGTACATTTTCCAACCACAGCGCTATGAGACTACATATCAATTACAGTAAAAAAAAATCTGTAAAAAATACAAACACGTGGAGGCAAAACAATACACTATTAAATAACCAAGAGATCACTAAGGAAATCAAAGAGGTAATCAAAAAATACCTAGAAACAAATGACAATGAAAACATGTGACCCAAAACCTATGGGATGCAGCCAAGCAGTTCTAAGGGGGAAGTTTATATCAATACAATCTTACCTCAAGAAACAAGAAACATCTCAAATAAACAAACTAACCTTACACCTAAATCAGTCAGAGAAAGAAGAACAAAAAACCCCCAAAGTTAGCAGAAGGAAAGAAATCATAAAGATCAGATCAGAAATAAATGAAAAAATAATGAAGGAAATCATAGCAAAGACCAATAAAACTAATAGCTGGTTCTTGAGAAGTTAAAAAAATTGATAAACCATTAACCAGACTCATCAAGAAAAATAGAAGATTCAAATCAATAGAATTAGAAATGAAAATGGAGAAGTAACAACTGACACTAGTGAAATACAAAGGATCATGAGAGATTACTACAAGCAACTCTATGCTAAAAAAATGGACAACCTGGAAGAAATGGAAAAATTCTTAAAAAGCACAACCTTCCAAGACTGAACTAGGAAGAAATAGAAATATAAAGACAAATGACAAGCACTGAACTTGAAACTGTGATTAAAAATCTTCCAACAAACAAAAGCCCAGGACCAGATGGCTTCACAGGTGAATTCTATGAAGCATTTAGAGAAGAGCTAACACCTATCCTTCTCAAACTCTTCCAAAATATGGCAGAGGGAGGAACACTCCCAAACTCATTCTACAAGGCCACCATCCACTGATAACAAAATCAGACAATGATGTCACAAAAAAAGAAAACTACAGGCTAATATCACTGATGTACATAGATGCAAAAATCCTCAACAAAATACTAGCAAACAGAATCCAACAACACATTAGAAGGTTCATAGAACATGATCAAGTGGGGTTTATCCCAGGAATGCAAGGATTCTTCAATATATGCAAATCAATCAATGTGATACACCATATTTACAAATAGAATGATAAAAACCATATGATAATCTCAACAGATGCAGGAAAGACTTTTGACAAAATTCAACACCTGTTATGATAAAAACCCTCCAGAAAGTAGACATAGAACTTACCTCAACATAATAAAGGCCATATATGACAAACCCACAGCCAACATCGTTCTCAATGGTGAACAACTGAAACCATTTCCACTAAGATCAGGGACAAGACAAGGTTGCCCACTCTCACCACTCTTATTCAACACAGTTTTGGAAGTTTTAGCCACAGCAATCAGAGAAGAAAAAGAAATAAAAGGAATCCAAATCTGAAAAGAAGAAGTAAAACTGTCTTTGCAGATGACATGATACTATACATAGAGAATCCTAAAGATGCTACCAGAAAACTACTAGAGCTAATCAATGAATTTGGCAAAGTAGCAGGATTCAAAGTTAATGCACAGAAATCTCTTGCATTCCTATACATTAATGATGAAAAATCTGAAAGAGAAATTAAGGAAACACTCCCATTTACCATTGCCAGAAAAAGAATAAAATACCTGGGAATAAACCTACTTAAGGAGACAAAATAACTTTATGCAGAAAACCATAAGAGACTGATGAAAGAAATTAAAGATGATACAAACAGATGGAGAGATACACCATGTTCTTGGATTAGAAGAATTAACATTGTGAAAATGACTATAGTACCCAAAGCAATCTACAGATTCAATGTAATCCCTATGAAACTACCAATCGCATTTTTCACAGAACTAGAACAAAAAATTTCACAATTTGTATGGAAACACAAAAGACCCCAAATAGCCAAAGCAATCTTGAGAACGAAAAACGGAGCTGGAGGAATCAGGCTCCCTGACTTCAGACTATACTACAAAGCTACAGTAATCAAGACAGTATGGTACTGGCACAAAAACAGAAATATAGATCAATGGAACAGGATAGAAAGCCCAGAGATAAACCCATGCACATATGGTCACCTTAACTTTGTTAAAGGAGGCAAGAATATACAATGGAGAAAAGACAACCTCTTTATAAATGGTGCTGGGAACACTGGACAGCTACAGGTAAAAGAGTGAAATTAGAACACTCCCTAACACCATACACAAAAATAAACTCAAAATGGATTAAAGACCTAAATGTAAAGCCAGACACTCTAAAACTCTTAGGGGAAAACATAGGCAGAACACTCTATGACATAAATCACAGCAAGATCCTTTTTGACCCACCTCCTGGAGAAATGGAAATAAAAACAAAAATAAACAAATGGGACCTAATGAAACTTAAAAGCTTTTGCACAAGAGAGGAAACCATAAGCAAGACAAAAAGACAACCCTCAGAATGGAAGAAAATATTTGCAAATGAAGCAACTGACAAAGGTTTAATCTCCAAAATATACAAGCAGCTCATGCAGCTCAATATCAAAAAAACAAATAACCCAATCCAAATATGGGCAGAAGACCTAAATAGACATTTCTCCAAAGAAGATATACAGACTGCCAACAAACACATGAAAGGATGCTCAACATCACTAATCATTAGAGAAATGCAAATCAAAACTACAATGAGCTATCACCTCACACCAGTCAGAATGGCCATCATCAAAAAATCTGCAAACAATAAATGCTGGAGAGAGTGTGGAGAAAAGGGAACCCTCTTGCATTGTAGGTGGAATGTAAATTTATACAGCCACTATGGAGAACAGTATGGAGGTTCCTTAAAAAACTAAAAGTAGAACTACCATACGACTCAACAATTGCCTACTGGGCATATACCCTGAGAAAACCATAATTCAAAAAGAGTCATGTACCACAATGTTCATTGCAGCTCTATTTACAATAGCCCAGACATGGAAGCAACCTAAGTGTCCATCGACAGATGAATGGGTAAGGAAGATGTGGCACATATATACAATGGAATATTACTCAGCCATCAAAAGAAACGAAATTGAGTTATTTGTAGTGAAGTGGATGGACCTAGAGTCTGTCATACAGAGTGAAGAAAGTCAGAAAGAGAAAAAGAAATACTGTACACATTTATATGGAATCTTAAAAAAAAAAAAAAGGTTCTGAATAACCTAGGGGCAGGTCAGGAATAAAGACTAAAGATGCAGATGTAGAGAATGGACTTGAGGACACAGGGAGGGGGAAGTGTAAGCTGGGATGAAGTGGCATGGACATATATACACTACCAAATGTAAAATAGTTAGCTAGTGGGAAGCAGCCGTGTAGTACAGGGAGATCAGCTCGGTGCTTTGAGACCACCTAGAGGGGTGGGATAGGGAGGGTGGGAGGGAGACGCAAGAGGGAGGAGATATGGGGATATATGTATATGTACATCTGATTCACTTTGTTATAAAGTAGAAACTAACACACCACTGTACAGCAATTATACTCTGATAAAGATGTTAAAAAAAAAAAGGTTTATTAAAAATACACTGGAGTTGCTTTCAGAGTCAAAGTGCTTGGGAGAACAGGAATCCAGGACAGAAGCACATAGATTTTTTTTTAATATCTTTATTTTAGTGTAATTAGTTTACAATGTTGTGTTAGTTTCTGTTGTACAACAAAGTGTATTAGCTATAAGTATACATATATCCCCATATCCCCTCCCTCTTGAGCTTCCCTCCCATCTAGACTAGAGTGCTGCCATAACTGTCATTGTGCTTTATGATTTCAGTCTTGTCTTATGTCCATATTAAATAATTCTGGGAGAATTTTCTTGGCTCAGTTGGGTCAGGTTTGACAATGGTTCAATCCTTTATGAACAAGTGGGCAAGAACCACACCAATTGCCACTGAGAACCTACATCTGTGTAACAAGTGGTAGAAGAAATGAAAGAACTGCACTAGACTTGTCAAGGACTCTTCCATCTACCAGTTTCAAATGTCTTCAAGGGCACTCTGCTATTCTATGAGAGTAATAAAAACTGTGGAACGGCAATAACCTTGTTAATTTTTTTTTAAAGGTCAGTTTTTAGATTACTAGCCCAGGAGTGTAGGCTCAGATTTTTTTGAAAAACTTCTCCTAAAAGGGTTTATGAAACTTTTAACTCTGAAATCCACCTCATGCATTTTTAGGGGTTAAGGGTTTTTTCTTTGGAGTCAGGTTCAAATCTTTCTGTTGTTTACTGGTTCTGTGACTTTGGCCTGATGTTATCTGAAATTTAGTTTTCTTAATTTGAAATGTTCTTCAGTTATTCTGGATAATAATAATTTTTATATATTTCATATTTTTTGCATCAATTAAAAACTTTAAACATGCTTCAGGAAAAATTACTTCCACCAACAAAAATCTTAATGAAGTAGGATATGTGTCCCCAAAGAGGACACAATTATTTTGACTTCTAGAAGCAAAAATGCAAAGTCAGGATGTTCAAAAGAAGCTGTCTTTGGTTGAAGCCAGGACCTGAATCCTGAGAACTTGCTGGAAGCTGCATTGAGGCCTCTGTCCTGGAGGACTTGTGAAACAGAAAACTGGAAAAGCAGGATTCAGGTGCCCTTGGCTTATTCTGGAGCCATGCAGGTGTCCTTAGAAACATAAACCAGAGACAGGGAAACAATTACCAGCTAAAGAGGGCTTAAAGACTTAAGAAAAATACAAAGATATTTTAATCTTTTCTTTAACATTTTTACATCTCTGCCCTTTAGAACTTGAGATGATTTATAATGAAATCAACTATAATATATATTTGAAGAAACAAGCAACAACAACAAAAATGAAAAGGCAAGAATCAACAACAGGGATGAAGGGAGAATGCACATATGTTTACTGGAGTAAACTGAGTCATCAGTTTCTCTTTGAGTTTCTGGATAGACAGGAAAAGTAAATAAATGAAATAAACCAAGCTACATAAATCTTATAACCAGAAATGAGGAAGCAGTACTGAGGGAAGGAATTTTTTTTTTCTTGCTCTAAATTCTAAAAGAAATATTTCCCATCAGACTTCATGGGGTGGATATTGAATGATGTCATGCCCATCTGCAATTTTACTCATTAGTTACTTGAGGATTTCCTATTAAATTTATTTATTCCTAGCTCCCTCACTAGGAAGTTCTGACTCAGCAGGTCGAAACATGTCATCGAGTGTGTCCAAGTATATTATGTTCTTAATTTAAAAAATATACATAGATATTAAGAATTCACAAAGTGCTTTCCCATCTTTTACTTGTTTCATAATCTTGGTGAGGTTCATTGGATTCTTATTTTAACACAAGAAAGGTAATTTATACTTTAAGATGTCAAATGACTTAAGACACTGGGAGACTTGAATCCCCATGATTTCAAGTGATGCAGGACATTAGGAGTTAAGATTGTAAAATTATTAACATAACGAAATCATGTCAATGTGATTGAGCTGAGGTTGGGAGAATCTCAGATTAATTAGGTGTCCAATTATTGGATGATTAGTTTTTGAGAACTTGCCCTTTTCTGCTCATCATCTGAGATTGCATGCGGAAATTCACCTTCTTTGTGAAGCCCTCTTAATGCCCACCCTTTCCTCCAAGGCATGTCCACGGCACTTGTACATAGAACTTCATTGTTTTCCTGCACAATCCTGGGGTGCACTGTGCTAGGTGATAGTCCAAACCATAAACTTGTTAATGATGAGACAGTGTTACTCATCTTGGTAGCATTGGCAGAATCTGACACATAGTAGGCGTGGGTTAAATAAACATTAAAGGACTATGTAAGATAGAGGCATATGTCATAGGAGAAAAACGGGATATCTATATATCTACCTATCTTACTTTAGGAAATACCTAAAACTTTGGCCAGATTTTCTATACTGGAGAAATAGGCATTGCTGTGAATCACTCATTCTAAAGTCATGATTTGCTTTTGATTTGATGAGACACTTATCATACAAGTGCAACTTTTAAAACTATTTATTAAATGAACAGTCACTGGAGTTTGGAGAGACAGCCTTGATCAAACCATCCAAAATTTAATCTCTGCCTTAGAAGCTTCTTTCTCTCTAGTCCATTTGGTTTATATCCCTAGACAGAGCCATTCCTCTCTGCCCATTAGGGCATCTACAGTTGGTTTGTGAATCCACTCAAAGATTTTTTATATGCAGTTAAAAAATTTCCGACATTAAGGTCTGGAACAATTAAGTTCCAAATGTTTTAAGTATTAATAAGGAGTAAAGTGAGACTCATGGAGACCAACTGACCTCCCCATGGTCACACAACCAATAAGAGGCCAAGATAGAAGCTGAACTTACATCTTCTCTATGGCTTTTGCTCTTTCTAAAATTTCATGTTGACTTGCTTATTGGACTGTCTCATACATTGAGCCTCTAGGATGGCAGTCCAAAGATTCAGGGTGTGAGCACCAATGAGCCTGAATGAAGGCAAAGGGTTAGGATACCTGCAACAAGAGGTAGGCTGTTCCCTGAGAAGATGGGAATGGGAAGATGCAAACATAAGTGAGTGTTTTTAGAAGCTTAGCTCTCTTTGGGGTGAGATTCAGGTGTGTCTGCATTGAGCACATCTTGATTCCAATGCGCAAGTCTGATTTCCCTCCTTAGAAGCTTAAGGAAAAGGGTGGGCTAAGTTCCAGGGTAATATGATAATAGCTTTCTAAGCTCACGCCAATCACTCCCTTGTTATGAAATGAAGCCAGTAGGGAAAAAGTTGGGAAAGGCCATAATTCCTGGAGATGCATATAAGGTAATTCAACTAACCAAAGGGGTAGGGTTTTACTTCTATCGGCACCTTGAGGTATGTCTAAGATCACACAGCTTAATCACTATTCTCTACTGCCTCTTCCTACACTATTCGCTGTTCAGTAGCTCTATTGCTGAGTGATAGAGCACAGACTGGAATCAGGCTGTTTGAATTCAGATCCACCCCTCCTCCCTTATTAACTTGGCCACATTAATTAAGCTCCCTGAGACTTGGTTTCATTATTTATAAAATTTAAGAATAGCAATACATATTTTTCATAGGGAATGTTAGATAGAATTAAATTAGGTACTACATATACAGCATTAATTTACTGCCTAAAACAGAAGTACTAAGTTCATGCTAGTTACTTATAGAATTACTTTCTCAAGTCTGACATTTCTGTATTTATATTTCAATATCCATTCTCAGGAGAGAACTGGATAAGGAAACAGCAGGTATCTCTGAGGACTCAAACCAGACTGTTTGCACATAAATCTAACTGCAGGATTAGAGAGCTTACTAGTCCTTTCTCCTGGAGTTAGGTTCAGTAAATCTCACTCTTCTCATGAGTAACTAATGGCCTGTTTACCTGGGTCTTTAGATTTTAGTGCATATAACCCCTCCTTTCATAGGCGGAACCTGCACAAGTCAAGTTCCAAGCAGAGTTGTGACAGGACCAGATCTCCTCACTTCCAGTGCTTACTTGTTTCACCCCACAACTGTGCTTCTTCTCTTAAGAGAATCTTATTAAGTCAGTGACTTTGAGATGATAAAAATACATCTACTTAAAATCAATTTTAAAAAAACGACTACAAGAATAAAGCAAAAACACACACAAAAAATACCCCTTTTCTGCTTATGGGTAAATGTGGGTTCCCAAATTTATTAAGTAAATCAGACAGACCCTTTTTCCTTTGTTCAATATACTATTTTTTGGTTGTAAGTTTTTAGGTTAAAATCACCTGGTTGAAGTCACTCTGATGAATCTTCTTCTTTTTTCTCATCACATTTCATATATCCTCTTAAAAAAAAAAGAGGAAAAAATGAATTATGATTTAGACTGATCAGGAATGTTAGAATCATCACTGAGGTATCTTATAATATTTGAGCAATACTTCAAGTTTTCCTATGTCATAAAGTAGTAAGGTCTAAGATTTCCATAATAGTTCAAATTTGACAAGCCATTATACATAATTATCTCTTTAAATCTGCCAACAAATCTATTAGTTTGATGTCTATTCCTATATAAACTCTATAAAGACAGATATTTTGATATATTTGTTTCATAATATATCCCCAGCACCTAGAACAGTGCCTACCATATAGTATGAATTAATAAATATTTGTTGAATGGATACATGAATGAATTTTAATCATTTTACATATGAAAAAAACCTCTGAAGCTCAAAGAGATTAAAAACCTGTCCAAGTCACATGGCTGGTAAATTGCAAAGCAAAGTCTAAAACTTAGGTCTCCAGAAGCATGAATTAATACCAGAGGCCATTCCACTGTTTAAGGATTGGGTGTGCGGTAGCTGCTGAGAAGGTAAGAGATGAGTAAATTATGGTCCAGCATTTATTATGTGCTTGACACAGTATTTAGGCATTGGGTACATAGGACTAAATAAAGCAAATTTTCTATCTTTATGAAGTTCCATATTTTTGTAATTTTCTCTTTCTAATGAAATCTCATTGAGTCTTTTATGACCCAAATTTCTTCTTACCTTTGCCAGAAACTCTCCCCTAAGCATCCTGGCCCCAGTGACAGCTCCTTTCCTTAGACATTAACTGTGATGTTTGGCTGACATTTACCTTATTCAGCATTTTAGTTATCATTGTATTTGCTCATGCCATCTTATACAATAAGGACGGCAAATTCTTTGAGGAGAAGGGGCTTAAAGTCTAGACGTTTTTCCTTCACAATTCCTGCCCCTACTTTCCTAAGCATGTATTAAGTTCTTAGGAATACTTCTTGCTGGTCTCTTCCCATTTCCCATTCCCTGTTATATTTATGGTCTTTTCTTGGACAGAGTGAGGACAGTTAGATTTGTTCCCTTGAGCAAGGACTGCTGTATCTTTCAACAAAGATCCCTCAAAATGTCTCAGTCAAATAGGGGTATGTGAGCTTTAGATCTGATCTCTAAGATTCCTTTCCTTATTTAGTTAATTCAACAATTATTTACTAAGTGCCCGATATGACTTACAGGGTACTGTGCTATAGCAATGAGCTAGAGAGATCTGATCTCTACTTTCATATAGTTACATGATTAAAAATAAATTAATCATGTGAGATGGTGATATGTTATAATGACATAATGACAAGGTATAGTGATAGAGAATAACCAGGGAATAAAAGAAGTTGTATTAATAAGAGTGGTTATAGCATCGTTTTCAGAGGAGGTGACATTTAGATGCGAGGCAAGACAAAGCACTAACTAGGAGGGGAAAAAGAGCATTTTAGGCAGAAATTAAAGGACGAGCAGAGAGCCTGAGACAGTTGTAAGTTCCAAGAACAGAAAGAATATCATATACCCAGAATAAAATGAGGGAAAAAGAAAATGGTAGAAGATGTGCCGTTTCTGAACCCAGAGCTAACAATTCTTTAGCATTTCAGATGGTCAACGTTCAGAGTTAACAGAGAAGACAAGGGCTATTTTATGTCTAGGGGATTCCCCAGGGAAGGAATAAAAAGAATTATGATTCTAATTCTTGGCCTTGCTATTGTTGTGATTTATAACCATATGAATTCAACTGGAGTCTAAACTCTACTTTGTACATAATAGATGTTATTCAGTTTTTCCCTTGTTTACACTAACAGTCATGGGAACTCAACAGTTGCAAAAGCAACCACAATATGAAAAATAAAAACACAAAATAAACATCTGTGTTTTAACAGTTTGTTCATGATGATTGTATGCAGAATTATGCCCATTCACATGATAGTAATATATGGATTTAAGCAGATCAAGGGATACAAAATGGCCCCTGATCACTTCTATATAGAAGTGGCTCTTAATCTGTTACTGGTAATAGACCTTTTTGAGAATCTTATAAAGTCAGAAGCACTTTCCCTAGAAAAATACAAAGATTCACATCTACACAAAAGATGAATACAAATTTAAAGGCTGTGTGGACCTTTAAGGCTCAGCCATGTAGCCCAGAGCATCCAATCAAGGGCTCTCAAATTTGTTGTATATAAGAATCACCTGAAAGCTTGTTAAAACGCTTGTTACAAAGCTTGTTATAAAGGCTTGTTATACAGCCTTGCTCCAGGAAAGTGCAAGATGGGATGAAGGGACCTGCCTTTTGGATAAGTTCTCCAGGCGATTCTGAAGCAGGTAATAGACTGCACTTTGTCAAACTCTGCTTAGGGGCCTGTGAAGGAGAGAATTAGAGAGCAGAGCCTCAGAGAGGTGGAGATTGAAAGCACCTAGAAATTCAAAAGAACGAAATAGACCCTGGAGAGCTGAACTTGGGGAGATTAATGTCGGAAGAATGAAGAAAGGGTAAAGTAGATGTAAAAATCAGAGCTATGTAAACTTGGGTAGGATGTATTACGAGTTGGGCACAGGAGCTTGGAAGCAGGTTGAAAATAATAGGAAGAGTCAGGGTTGTGGAATTTGCCATCAAGGCAATCTCTCGTGATCAAAACAAACCCTCATAAGAGAGGTTCTTCAGATTGCCTCTGAGGAGAGATTAGCTACTGTGTCTGCTAACCCTCTTGAATTACTCAAACCAGAAAATAAAGACGGGACTCACCATACCTCTCACTGATGAGCACACCTCTACCCACCACCTTCATCAGCAAATTACTGTGTCTGCACTGGGTGGGTCCTTTATTCCTTTAACTTTACAGATTAGCAAACTGAGGCACTCAGGGAGGGAAAGCCTAACTCCAGATCACCCAGTAAATAACACCTGTGTCAAGACCAGAACACGGCTTTCCGTCCCTCGGTCCGGTGGCCTTCTTCCTCCCTACTCGGTCCTGAAATAAAAAATATTTGATGGAACCCCTTGTTCCATAAATTCCTTGGGAACGTGTTCACCCCAAAAGAGTTCAGGGAAATTCATGCAGATGCAAATATATCTTAAGGTAGGCAACAAGTTTCAATTAAAACAATACATTGGCATGCATGCAATTTTGTTTCTCATTCATTTTAATGCAATGCGGTCATTACTAACGGCGAACTGGACAAAAGCAAGGTTTGTCTCAGTGCTTACTTGCTCTTCATCATGGAGCAGATGATGAACTCCACCGTATTCTCAATGATCTCCGAGCCCAAGAGGCTTAGGAAGTTTGGAAAGGCTGGTTCTAGGGTTTTGCCCGAGTCATCTGGCTTGTCATCTGACTTGCTCTCTGGTTTGTTATCTGAAAAACAGAATGGAATCTCAGGGTGATTCTCAGCAAGAAGAAAGGGAAGTTTCTTTCATTGTAGGGAACCCTAGAGCTCTTTATACCCCCTCTCACTAATTATATAGCCTCATATAGTTACATTTATTGCATATCTAGTGCCTGCCTGGTTATTGTCTTCACGTGCGTTATGTCACTTATTCCTGAAACCAAACAGAGCAACAGATATTGATGCTTAGGCAGACATTGGTTCTCTTTCCAGATGAGAAAACTGAAGCTCACGGAGGTTAAGTAACTTGTTCAGAGTTAAAGCAGCTAGTAAATGCCAGGGCTGGGACTGAAATGCAGATTGCTTGGTTTTAATGTATTTTTCTCATGTAATCCCTGGACCTATGGAAATGATAATAAGGAGGATGATATAATAATAGTGTTTTCTGAGCACATACCTATGACAGGCAATCTCCATGCATTATCTCATTTTATTCTCACAGCAACACTATGAGGGAGGCAAAGTTATTATCCGAAGTTAAAGGTAAAGAAATGGAAGTTGAGAGAGGTTTAGAAGCGGGTCAAAGTCACAGAGATGGTAAATGGCAGAATCAGAATTCAATCCCATGTTTGCCTGGTATTAAAATCCGGGTTCTTAAGCACTCTGTGATGAACTGCATAGTCTTTGGCAGAAAAGGTATGATCTAACTACAAGTGTATTATAAGGTTGAAAGTAGTATAATAATGATGACGAGGAGAAATTCTATCACTTGTACAGCATGTGATAGTTCTGTAAATAATGATTTTACATCTACTGTGTAAGTTTAAGCTTGACCAATCTTGTGGAGTATGCAGAGCTCACTGGACTCAGAAACTGAGAACATTAAGTGACCTGCAGAAGATCTTACAAATAGCAAGAGAAGATGGTACTGTAACTGCAGGTCTCTTACTTTTGATATTTAGTCAAATGCCTTTTGGAATGAGGCCAAAGGTCCAGAGTGAAGTTGGTGACATGGCTGGGGGTTTGGCTTTGCTTAGTGGTCTAAGTGGTTTGGGAGATTAAAAGCAATGCAAGAGCGGCAATTAAAGATACGAACAGCCTCCCCTTTCCACCCTGGTGCCAGGATGAAGTAGGACCTTAATCTTTTAGTTTTACTGTAGCCTCACAAGTAGTGTTGGCAGATTTGGTAAATAAAATTACAGGATGCCCAGTTAAAGTTGAATTTCAGATAAATAACAATACTTTTTTAGTGTAAGAATGACCCATGAAATATTTAGTGCATAATTAAATGAAAAAATTATTGTTTATCTGAAATTCAACTTTAACTGGGTGCCCTGTATTTTATCTGTCAATCCCACCACAAATGTTTTTTTAATTTAATTTAATTAATTTATTTATTCATTTATTTTTGGCTGTGTTGGGTCTTCGTTTCTGTGCGTGGGCTTTCTCTAGTTGCGGCGAGCGGGGGCCACTCTTCATTGCGGTGCGCGGGCCTCTCACTGTCGCGGCCTCTCTTGTTGCGGAGCACAGACTTCAGAAGCGCAGGCTCAGTAGTTGTGGCTCACGGGCCTAGTTGCTCCGCGGCATGTGGGATCTTCCCAGACCAGGGCTCGAACCCATGTCCCTTGCATTGGCAGGCAGATTCTCAACCACTGCACCACCAGGGAAGCCCCCCACCACAAATTTTGACTCAAGAAGTCCCAACTTCTGTACAATTTACCCCATTACTCTGAATGAAGGAGATGTAACTAGCTTTTGGTGTGGAGGCTGTCAAATTAGTGAGAAGAGTCGCATTTATATTATATCCTAAAATAGAAAGTCTTAGTAAAAAATATGGCTTTCAATTCTGCAAACATTTATTGTTTACTATGCCACTGCAAAAGATTCAATAGGAGCACTACCAGTCTGGGACCTATAACCAAGATCAGTATACTAACCACCAAGTATTTATTTATTCAGCTGTTGGTTTTTTCATCAACAAGTGTTTTTGAGCCTACTATTATGTACATATCATATGCTGCTAAGAGTTAAGGCAAAAATGGACTTATATGGACATGACCGTTACATAAAGCACAGGGCAACCACGGTGACCAGAATTGCTTTGTTTTCATTACATGAAGTGGAAGGAAAGAGAAGGTATATTTGTGATGCTCAGGTACTAGGATGTGCTTTCATCACCTGCCTAATCCTTATTCAGTTCAGTGATAGGATTACAGGAGAGAAAACAGATGCTCAGAGAAATTCCTAAAGTCACACATATAGAAAGTGGCTGAGCCAGGGTTTGAACTTTTATTTTTTTTTAATTTCACAGAGCATGTTCCCTATATGATATAATACTGCCTTCAAGCAACTGTCCCCTGGAGACATTTACCAGCTGCGAACCAGAAATTCCTTGCATGAAAAGTGAGTTCTTTTTTTTTCTGTGTTCCTATCTGCCTAGTTGCATAACAATTTAATTTTATTATTTTTACTTTAACGTTTTATTTTAATATGATGCTAAATGCTAACTTTTCAAAATGCAAGGAGCCCTGGATTGCAGTGTGTGTGAAGATCAAATCCTTGGCTCCAGCCTTTGGATCGCATATGTAAGGAGAGGTATGAGAGTATGGTGGGTGATGTTTTGGAGTCCTATATACCTGAGTTCGACTCTGTCCTCAGCAAAAAGTTCACCATGTAACCGTGTAAACAATATTTAATTACTCTCTCAGTTTCTTATTGTCAAGATGGAAAGATACTTTATTTATCTGTGATGTATATCATAGATATGTATGTATATATATGCATATCTATATTATATAAATCACTTATTGCAGTACCAGGTCTAAGGTGAGCCCACAATAAATGCTCATTGTATGATTATTACTATTGTTAATAACAGTAGCAGCAGAATGATTCATAGTAGCTTTCTCCGCTAGTGCTTAAAGATACGAAAATTTTAAAATGCTGCTAAAATATTAAGAACTTTGAAAATGCTGAAAAATAATAAAAATGAAGACATTTGACATACCAGAAACAAATTATCAAAGCCAACAGTTGAATATTTTCTCCTTTCAGTTGTAATATGGGGTAGCCTTTATTTACATTAACTACCTGATTTTCTTAGTCAATATAATCATAAAGTTCTGAAAAAATACAGTAATGCTGATATTTATACAGATTTTATAGTTTACAAAGTGACTACAAAAGCATGCTCATTTCACCTGGTGCAGTTGGTAATTATCCCATTTTACAGATGAGGAAACTGAGGTTCAAAGCAGTGAACTGATTTTAACCAGTTTCAGAGTTCATGAGAGACAGACTTGGGACTGGTCTCTAAGATATAAATCTCACTTTTTACTTTACCACGGTGATTACTATAGGGGCAGATGGACACAGTAGTCTCTGAGCCCATCCCTGCTGTAGCTTTGTTGGAGTGTCTGCCTGTGGGTTGTGCCAGTGGACAGTGGGTGATGGAGGGTGGGAGTTCTGCCAAGTTACATGTAGAAGAGCTCAGAAAGCTCTGTTACTATTTGTACTGTCTGTGTTTTCTGACCTATCATTCTGATCAGAGATAAGTTAAGAGCTCACTGCCTTCTGTAGACCAAAAATTAATTAGTGAGAATTCTGCATGCTGCCTTTTGGTCCTCTATGTGCTTGGAACAGACTTGAAAGAAGTAGATGCTTTATAATAGAAAGAATCGAAAGACTTGGGTTTCAATCCCAAGTGTGCCACTTCTACCTGTGTCTATGCTCAAGTAACTTTCCCTCTGCAAGCTCAGTTTATTTACCTGCAAAAAGGGAAATGATAAAACTGTGCACGTTTACTTAAAAAGATTATGAGAATCAAATGAGATGATACATGATAAAAATAACAATTAATATTTATTGGGTGCTCATGATGGACCAGATACTTTTCCAATATGTTTTGTCTCTTTTATTTAATTTTCATGACAGCTAAATGAGAAAGTTAACTACTGATATTCCCTTTTAAGTGTGAAGCCCTTAGAGGTTAACGAGCATGCCTGAAGTTACATTTCTGACTAGTGGTAGAGCGAGGCCTAGGAGTCTTATTCCAGACTCTTCACCTTTGAATATTATTAGTTATAATCATTAAAAAATAAACACCCCCAGCTCTCAAGGAAATTATAATAGTGTCACTATATCACATGAAGATATAAGAAAAAAAGTCATTCTAAACGTCGTACATTCACTGATAGAGACTGTAACCTAAGCACATTTGAATAAAAGTCCTACTTTCTTTTTATTAGAAGATCTGTCTCTTGTCTCCCAGTCCAGTGCTCTTTCTGCAGTGCCCAAAGTTCCCTTCTCTCCCCTTTATGTTCTGGATCTGCGCCACTGACTTCCTCCAGTCATGGCTAACTACTGCACAATGCGTGAGCTGTGATTGCAGGTACTTACCGGCTTGGCAAGTCAGGATTAAGACAAGCAGTCCCCAAACAACTGTCAGCTGTAGCACTGAGACAGCCATGTTTGTAGCAGTGGGTATCGATGCAGTTAAATTGTTCAGATGCACCTGAAGCCTTGCTCCATTTATAGGGCATTTATAGGTGACATCATCTGCTATGGAATTCAGGTTGTTGCGTAAGATAGACACAGCTTGCTCTTGGATCTCTACTGATGAGCCCTGCCCTAGCTTTCAAACTAAGGGTTTTACAGATAGAGAAAGAAAAACCCTCTTGGTTTTTCTAATGTGTGTTTATAAATGGCACCAGAATCATTCTTTTGGAGTTAGTTGCACTGCCAGCATTGACAATTAGATGGGGATCAGGCAGAACTGCTTTTCAGTGCCAAGGAGCAAGCAACAACAGTTGGTGAGGCGTGCCTCCTTGCCTCCCTGTGCGCTCTGCTTCCTTCCCATGCTCTGAGCTAGTGTCTTGTCTCCACCTGGGCATGCCCATTCACACTCCCATGCCGTTGCTCAGGCCCTTTATTTTTCCTGGGATAGCTTCCCTATTATCTCTCCTTGACACATTCCTACTTATTACTCAGGCTCAGGTTCAAATGCCCCCTTCTCTGCAAAATCTCCATCATGGCCCTTCTACCCTTCTCCAGATGGTCACTCCATCACCTGCCATCACCTGCCATATTGCCCTTGACCAGTTGTCTGGGAACTAAGTACTTTAATAGCTCTCTTCTCCTTTAGCCTATAGATATGTTAAGGGCAGCTCCGGTTTCTAGGATAGTGCCTTACATATAAAAGATACCCATCAATATGTACTGAATAAATGAGTTAATAAATAATTTTCAGAAGAGAAGCATGGACTCATGTAATAGTTCTATCAGTTATTATCTTTGTAACTCTGGCAAATGGCTGAGACCACTCTAAGTCTCAGATTCCTCATCTGTAAAACTGAAACATAATTTCCCACCTAGTCATCTGCACTATCTTAAGGACCTAGGAGATAGCAGATAAAATGCCTGATAAAATGTAGAGAACCTTTAATGTGTACCATATCAAAAGCAGTCAAGAACTTGTGACTTACCCTCCATTGACATATGCAAATGAATTTGACTTTAGGTAGAGGAGAAACTGGGATTATGAAAGACAGTTTTACCCAAGCTAGGAAGAGGAAATGAGTACCTTATTTCAGAATGCCATTCTAGTTTGGCAAGAGGATATGAAAATAAAAGGAATATGGCATGCTGTAATTCCAATGAACATTTCCATGTGTAACTGAAAGTCATCAGAGTTCTTTCTTCAGGTAGGAAATGCTTGTAGTCTGATTTGGAAATCTCATAGCCAGCTCTTGACGTGTGTGTTAGTGGTTGAACTTTGGAATCAGACAACTGAGTTTAAGTTTCAGATTGCCACTTACAAGTTGTGTATCTGTGTGATCTTAGAAATAGTTCCTAATTTCTTTATGCCTTGGATCCAATGTCTACAAAATAGGAATAATGCTATCTCTCAGGGTTGTTATGAGGACTGATGAAAAACACATGCAAACAACACAGTATCTTGTATATACTAAGCAAAAATTAAATGGTAAACTTGCTTTTCTATTCTATTCTATCCTATCCTATCCTACCCTATCCTGTTCTATCCTGTTCTACCTTGGATTGTCCCAGAGGAGGGAGTGAGAGTCATGCAAGCAGCATTAGGGATGATGATAATACTAATAATAATAGTAGTAGTAATAGTAATAGTAGTAGGCTAATGTTGTTAACTCTGACCAGGAATCAAACTAGATGAAATATGTCAACAAAGCTATTGAGAGGCTGCCATTATTATCCTAATTTTATATAAGGAAATTCAAGCTTGGAGAAGTTAAATAATTTGCCTAGTGTTACAAATCATGTATGAGCCAGAACAAGGAATTGAACTCAAGGACATGTGACTTCAGAGTTTGTGCTGTTTTTTTTTTAATTAATTTTTATTGGAGTATAGTTGATTTACAATGTTGTATTAGTTTCTGCTGTACAGGAAAGTGAATCAGTTATACATAATATATATATCGACTCTTTTTTAGATTCTTTTCCCATATAGGTCATTAAAGAGTATTGAGTAAGGTTCCCTGTCAAAGTCTGTACTCTTAACTATTAACTTATTTGCACCGGCATGTGCTCAGTGCTGTAACTGGCGGAAAGTCGGGGTCACGCAATGAACCCTGCAGTCACTGGCCTGTTTGTGCACAGGTCCATCTGTATCTGGTCTGTTTTCCCCATTCGTCTCTAGATTTCCCATTGACCTGCATCATTCACCTGTGTTTGAGCTCAGTTTGATCTATCAAAGGTGCAGGGTACAGAGCGTGTTCTCGATCCTTGGCAGAAAGTGAACTGGAGCTAAGGCTACAGAATTAAATACAGGATGCATCATGAAATTTGAATTTCAGATAATCAGTGAGTAATTTTTTAAGTATAAGTATGTCCCAAACATTTCACAGGACATACTTTACTAAAAGAAATTCTGGGGCTCCCCTGGTGGCTCAGTGGTTGAGAGTCTGCCTGCCGATGCAGGGGACACGGGTTTGTGCCCCGGTCTGGGAAGATCCCACATGCCGTGGAGTGGCTGGGCCTGTGAGCCGTGGCCGCTGAGCCTGCGCGTCTGGAGCCTGTGCTCCGCAATGGGAGAGGCCACAACAGTGAGAGGCCCGCGTACCACACACACACACACACACAAAAAAGAAATTTTGTTGGTTAGCTGAAATTTAAATTTAACTGGGCATCCTGTAGTTTTGTTTGCTGAATCTGGCAACCCTTCCTGGAGAGGCCCTCATCAGTGTTTTCTTACTTTGAACCTCAGATCAGAGAATTAAGGACAGGACTGAAGGGGGGGAAATCAAAGAACTGATTAAAAGGTAGTATGTGAGAAGTTAAAATAATATATGGAAAGTAGGAGTTACTGAAAAGTCCCAGTTCCTCTTTAATATCACATCTGGGGCATATTTCACACCTGTATTCCTCATAAGAAAATCATTAGCCCCTCTCTTGTCCTTGGTTCACTGTACCTAAAGTTTCAGACCAGCCCTGGAAGGGATGCACGTGGCTGCAGGAAGAGCTCCCATTCCCATGGTATCCATATGCTTTGTCACCCTAATCACCTTTCTACACATACGTTATAACTTATTCAATCGTCATGCCACCCATCAATTCATTAACTTCTTATTCAGTGGACACATCTTGAGCTTTCATCGTTTGCCAGGTGCTCTGCTAGGCACCAGGGACAAAAAAAAATGCAAAACACCAGTCCCTGACCTCGCCTTTGTTGAGGAGGTGAACAAGTAACCAAACAACTGCAATATAAATACGAGAAACACTGATGGAGGTATGAACTGATTCCTATGGAAGACTATCAGGGAGTGGGAACATTGTGTGGGGAGGAAATCATGCGGGTATCATTTGTTTGGAGCCTGGAAAAGTGGGTTTGTAGGTGTTCACTATGCAAGCAAGGTATGGAGAAGACTCCTTGGTGGGAGGAATGGCATCTGCAAAGGCACAGAGGCATGGAAGAGTGAGCATATTTCTAAGAATGACCCCTCAAATTCCTGAGTTTTGATATTAGAAGTGAAAATTAAAGTGAGCTAACTGAATCTTGAAATTCGTTTTAATTAATGAACATGCTAGGAAGAGATAATAGAGAGAGAGAAAGGGAGAAGAGGAAACAGAGAACACTGGGGGGAGTAAGAAATCACAAACCACTAAGTATTAGAGCTCAGAGTCAGCTTTTCCCCTGCTCTTGTTTCCCTGTTCCAATCTTAGATAAGCATATTGCCATCCATCCAATTACCTGAAGTACAAATTTTCTTTAACTCTCTTTTCACCACAGAACCTATTTGCTCACAAAGTCCTATCAATTCTCCACTCAAATAGCCTTCAGCTTTATCAAATTCTCTTCATTTCCACATAGTGTCATAATTTGGGCCATTGTCTTGACTATTGCAATAGTAGTCTAGTCTTCCTAATGTATGTCTCCCCCATCTCCTAAACATTGCTGTCATTTAATCTTTCTCAAACATGATTATGTTTACATCTTCTGTCAGTTCCCATCTCTAATAATTTCCATGTCTCCCTACTGTGTATACCTAAAGCCCTTCATGTTTTACTCTCAATCAATAGTTCCAGTTTTATCTTAGTTGTAGTATAGAATAAGTCTTAGAGCACAGGGTCTACAGTTTGATGGCCTGGATTCCATTTCTGATTTCATCAGGGTTAGTATTTGCCTGGCATGTATGGAATGCTCACACTGTTTGTTTATATCCAGTCCACTATGAAGGGTCAGTATTTGTATTCTCGTTGTTATATAGTACAATATCCTACCAGTCCTTTACAGTGTGATTTGGCAAGTTGGAGATACTCTTCTAACTTCAATTCTCCTTCTTCATTATGAAAATAACAAGAGTGGCAGCCTCATAAAATTTTTATAGCATAAATGAGATCATGCTACAAAAACTCAGCACAGTGAGGGTCTAATACATGTTACTATTTGCATTATAACTTCCCACCACTCTCTGAGCACATGACTTCCCCTCCTACTTTACTAGGCATACCTCCAGACTGATTCTTATTCTATCACCCTGTTCGTTTTGCATGGATTATCCAACCCACACCAACTCAACTTCAAATATTACATCCTTCAGAAAAACATCATGGTCACATCCCTGACCTAATCCATGGCAGAATTCACCACTTCTGCTGTGGGCCCACACTGCACACACCTCTATTGTAGTATGTATTGCATTGAATCATAAGTTATTGTTTTATTTCTGACACCTTCATTAAGCTACAAGTTCCTCAAGTGTGGGCCATGCCTTATTTGTCCTCAAATACCATTCGCCCACAACCATGACTCCCAATTACACAGTGTGATGAATAAATGCAGTGAGTGTTCAATCGATGCTCATTAAATGTGTAAATGGATGTTTGGAGTCAGTGGCAGAGGTGATTTATGAGCTCCACTGGAATGAGAGCCAAAACTCAGACTAACAGACTAGGTCTAAACAGGAAGGTTAGTTAAGAGTCTAGTGGCTTTTGTTTTTCTAGCAGCTAGAGCTACAGGCGAGGGTGGAGGCAACATTCCAGAAGAGGTACTTGGTCATGCCTTTGGCACACGGGATGGAATGATGGGGAGTTAACAAAAAATTAAGCATAAATTAATCACATGGAAATAGTGACTTTCCCCCAAATTATGAAGACCTTAGCACTAAATTCACAGTGTAAAAATTTCTAT